ACATTGCATTTAGCATCTTAGACTCCTGATCTTAAGTCTGTTTTGTTTTATTTGATTTTGATTTTTTGGTCTTCTTTTTTTTTTTTTTCCACAACCTTGATAGTCCTGAAGAGTGCCAGCTAGGTACTTTGTAGAATGTCCCTCAACTTGATATGTCTGGTGTTTTCTCATGACTGAAATGGAGTTTTGGGGTTTTTTTTTGGGGGGGGGAAGACCTCAGAAGTCCTCATCGCATCATACCTGGGGTTACTTGATAGCTACCTGAAGTCACCAACAATGTTGACCTTGAACTCTTGGGTAAGGCAGTGTTTGCCCTGTATTTCCACCCTCTGGTAACTGTTTTCCCTTTCCATACTCTATTCTTTGGAAACAATGCAAATTGTCTTAAAGAAATGCTCCTTATCAGGGTCCTCTATGGCACAGACAGGGATGTTATCAACACTTATAGTTGGAAAGTGATTCCTATGAGTATGTGTATTCTCTGTGTATGAAGATGTTTAGAAAACCCTACTGAGTTACTGTATTTTCTTAGTATGTATACCAAAGAGAAGTATATAATAAAAATCTCTATGTATTTAAAGCTCAAGAGTCTTTAAGTGGATATAAAGTTAAAAATTTAAGTAAGCAAAAGCACAGGAATTTGGCACAATTCCTCCCTTAGAACATAAATTATCAGTGCGGGCAGTATTGCTCCTAAGGTGGTGAAAAATGGCTCAGGGGTGGGTGGGGAGAAGATGAAAAAACCTTAGATATTTCAATGGTTTGTGGCCCTCCAAAGCTCATCCTTCTTGACACAAATTTATTAATTGGGATTTAACCTTTCTCCTTAAATTTAATTAAGTTCTCTTTTAGGGGCTGTTCTCTTTAAGAGATGATAATGAAAAAAAAGTTGAAAAATGCTGTCATAGAGGTTTATAAAATAGTGGCACAATGGATGGCCTCAGGCCATGTGACATAAGCAAGGATGGAACACTTGGCATAGGTCGGATTACAGTTTGTGCCTCAGTTTCCCTACCTGTAAAATCAGGATGGTTCGTGTGACAGGGTGGCTGTGGGAATAAATGACCCATGTAAATCCATTTAAAGCATTAGCTGTTGTTAGCAGCAGCAGCAGCACTTTATAAAGGTGGAAAGAGAAGGTCAGAGAGGTCAAGCTACTTCCTGCAGGGGCACACAGCCTTGGAAGTGCCAGAGAGGAGCTTCAAACCTGCTAGGTGGGCTGGGGAAGAAGAGCTCTCCCCCGCTGAGTCTGTCCTATTCGTCCCTGAGGAGCTGATTCTGTCAAGGATCACCCCATCAGCCACCCTGCCCTGGCCGGTAGCACCAGGAAACCCATTCTCTCTGGACGCTAAGTGTTGAGCCGAGGAGCTGGAGAATTGAGCAGTCGCTTGCTGCCCCCTTCAGGCAGAAGCGGAAATGTCAGGCACCCAGCCCTCTTCGGCCTGAGTTAGGGGGACGCTTGCTTCTCTAGAGCTTCTACAATCCTTCAAGTCTTTGGCACAATTTGGGCATTAGCAGTCTAAATTAAAATGCACAAATGTATATAATCTTGAGCCCAGAAATTGCACTACTACAGATTCAGGCCACTTGCAGAAGTGACCTGAGATTTGTGGGCATGTAGATGGGCTTTGGTTAGGGAGTGCCTCACTCAGCCACAGGACATCCAGCGTTTGAGGAAGGTGAGGGGAGGCAACTGGGGCCTTGTAAAGAGCTTCAAGACGTTTTGATAATGACGGAGCCCACGTCAAGCTCCCGGTTTAACGCGGAGTCTGCTGGAGAGTTCTCTCTCTCCTTCTGTCCCTCCCCCCACTGGCGTGCACTTTCTCTCTCTCCAAAATAAATTTTTAAAATATTTTTTTTTTTTTTAAAAGAAATTTTGCTGGAACTTCTGGGTGGCTCAGTCAGTTAAGTGTCTGCCCTTGGCTTGGGTCCTGATCCCAGAGTCTTGGGATCGAGTCCCATGTCAGGCTCCCTGCTCAGCGGGGAGTCTGCTTCTCCCTCTCCCTCTGCCCCTCCAGCCCCCCTCATGCTCACTCTCACTATCTGTCTCTCAAATAAATAAATAAAAATCTGAAAAAAAGACATTTTGCTAAACGAAAACTGAGGACAGAAATAACAGAACATTGCGCAGATGTACAAATGTTGGCATACACACTTTCGCGCTGAAAAATACACAAATGAAATTGTTAATCATTCTGAAAAGAGGTGAAAAGGGAAGTTTCTACTTTTTCGTTTTCTTTTAACTTTTTTTGTACTGTGCGGTTTTCTCACACAGGCCTGCACGTATGTATATATATATATATATATATATATATATATATATATTTAATGTTAGAAATTTGGAGGTTCTTTTCTGCTTCTCTCAGCATTACCTCAACATACAAAAGCATATTCGGATGGGGAGAAGTTCAGTAATAAAGCAAGTATAGAATACAATTCCATTTTTAAAATTTATTTATTTATTTATTTATTTATTTATTATTATTTACTTGAGAGAGAGCAAGAGAGGAAGGACAGAGGGAGAGGGAGAGAGAGAATCTCAAGCAGTATATGCTCAGCAGGGAGCCCAACTCAGGGCTCAATCCCATGACCCTGAGATCATAACCAGAGCCGAAATTAGGAGTTGGATGCCTGATGGACTGAGCCATCCAGGTGTCCCAAATCTCATTTTATTTTTAAAATTACAGATAGTAAGAGAAATCAATTAGAAATAGAGAAATCAAGACAATAATATATTATTTCTGGGTGGGAGTGATTACTGTTTTCTTTGGGCTTCTCAGTACTTTTCCAATGACACATTCTGCAATTAATGTTTGTATACCTTTTGTAATCAGATAAAAATAAATATATGCACAACATTGGGAATGTATTTATTGCCAATGAGCTGCACACTTTAAAGTGGTTACAATGGTAAATTTTATGTTTTGTGTATTTTACCCTTTTGGTTATTGCAAGGTTACTTTCCTTTATGGGATAGCAGGGGTCTGTCCAGCAGAGAACCTACCTAGTGCTGATCAGAGAATTCCTGGATGACTGGTTTAAGATTTCATTTCTGAAGAGCCAAAACTGTAATGAAGTTAAGTCTCTGTTCGGTAACGTGGGGATTAGTATAAGGCATTTTAGGCCTGTTGCCTTATTTTTTTTAATGTGTATATCCCAGCTAAGGAAAAGGTGAGACTATTCCTACCAAATCAAGGTCCAGACCTTCCACATATTGAATTGAGACCTATGTACTACATAAAGTGACAATAGTACTATATATCACATAAAAATGAGAGAAAAGCTATAGGGCCTGACAGAATTTTCACCCAGACCCTGAGGAAGATGACCCCCACTGAGAACTATAATGCTTAAAAAAAAAAAGGAAATATAATGCTTAAAATGATAGAAGAAAACAAAAAATAGAAATGTTTTGGGGCACTTGGGTGGCTCAGTTGGTTAAGCATTTGCCTTTGGCTCAGGTCATGATCTCACGGTTGGTCTTGGAATTGAGCCCCATGTTGGGCTTCCCACTCAGTGAGGAGTCAGCTTCTCCCTCTGTTTCAGTACATCCTATGCAACTATTTTCTCTTATCAAACCTTCAAAACAGAGTGACTGAGACTCAACATTTTATAATGAGAAAAACCAAACCTTGCTACTATTCTACTTTAAGTAATGCAGGCATCAGGAGTGAGCCCAAGAGAATGAAACCTGTGTTTATTCAAAGACTTATATACTGATGTTCACAGCATCTCCATTCATTAGGGATCCAAACTGGAAACAACTCAGGTGTCCAATCACAGGTGAGTGGATTTTTTAAAAATCTAATATATTTATACAATGGAGTCCCACATTGGGCTCCCTGCAGGGAACCTGCTTCTCCCTCTGCCTATGTCTCTGTGTCTCTCATAAATAGATAACATCTTTTTTTTAAAAAAAAAAAAGAACTCTAGCTCAAAAGAACATTTATAAGGCCATGTATATGAAACTTTTACGGAAGACAAATCTAATCTATAGTGAGAGAAAATAGATTTGGAGTTGCCTGGGGAGAATGATGGGCTTAGGGATTAAGTGGGAAGAGTAACAAGGGACTTTGTGGTGGTGGAATGTTCTAGATCTTGATTGTGGAGATGAATACATGGGTGTGTAAACATGATGATATTCATCAAAGGATACAATTAAAACGAATGCATTTTACTGCTTATAAATTATACTCCATAGAATGTATTTTTAAAAATTTCTTTCAAACGCAATTGACATCCATTTCACTATCATTCATCAAAATTGGCAAAAAAAAAAAAAAAACCTAGTAAGTACTGATGAGGTCTACAAAATTAGGTTATCTATTAAACTCTCCAGCAGGCCTAGTTGGCTCAGTCAGTAGAACACGCTCTTGATCTTGGGCGTGTGAGTTCAAGCCCCACAATGGGTGTAGAGATTACAAAAAAAACAAAACAAACAAACAAAAACCCTGAAACAAACAAAAAAACCCAACTCTCAAAATACAGCAGTAAAATAGAACAGAACATCCAAGTGCACACAAAATACGCAAGAGAACACTGTGTTTTAGGAAATGGGGATTTCCGTTGCATATGGGACTCCTGATTTCAGCTCAGGTCCTGGGATGGAGGCCCAGAGTGGGCTGCACGCAAAGCGAGGAGTACCCTTGAGATTCTGTCTTTCTCTCTGCCCCTTCCGCTACTAGAGTGCACTCCCTCTTTCAAATAAATAAATGCATCTTTAAAAAAGAAGAAGGAGAAGAAAGAAAGAAACGGGAGAACTTTCAAAACAGCTTTGCAGATCCAGGTGGTTCAAGCCCAGAGAAACCGGAAGTGTACGTCAAAGCCGGAAGTGTGGCAGGAGACCGGATGCAAAGGATGAGGTCCAGTCAGACTCCACAACCGGAAAGTGTGGCGCCAGATGCCAAGAGCGCAGGCGCAACCCCTAGCTCAACCAATCAAGACGAAGTGAGGCGGGCATTCGGATGCAAATAGGGCACTCAAACCGGAAGTGTGGCGGTTTACCTACGGAAAAGCAAGCATCATGGCGGCCTACGAGCAGGTTCAGAAGGGGCCCCTGAAACTAAAAGGCGTCGCAGAGCTCGGTGTGACCAAACGGTGAGTCCCCGAGAGCACTGCAAAACCTTGTCTTCTGCCCCCTTCAGCCTCATCTAGAGTCCTCGAGCTCTTGCCCCCCCTGATCCGCCTTACCTCCTCTCCCCGCCTCTCCCCTCCCAGGAAGAAGAAAAAGAAGGACAAAGACAAGGCGAAACTCCTGGAAGCGATGGGAACGAGCAAAAAGAACGAGGAGGAGAAGCGGCGAGGCCTGGACAAGCGAACCCCGGCCCAGGCGGCCTTCGAGAAGATGCAGGAGAAGCGGGTAAGGCGGGTGGGGAAGCTGGGGATGCCCCGCGCAGCAGCTCTGGGTCTCCGGAGGTGGATGGGGAGGCAGAGCCGGTGGACTCGGAACTTGGGGGTCAGACCCGGGCCTCTCGGAGCGGTAGTGAGCGGTCAGTGAGACCTTAACTCTGAGTCCGCGGTTGGCGGAGCTCCGAGGACAGGAAGCGCCCCCGCCAGAGTGGATGGCAGAGGAGAAAGCTAGGACTGGCGTAGAAAGGCCAGACCCGGGGACCGGTTTTGGATTCCAGCGCAGTTTCTCATTTGCCCGGTGACACAGGGCTAATGACTCATCTTCTTTCTGCCTCAACTTACCTATCTGTAGGGGTCAGGAGAGTGCTTTCTCCTAAAAGGGATGGGAACTTCAGATGAAGTCATGCAGATAAAGCATTTGGCACTCAGTCTGGCATAAAATCAGTGCTCAGTTGATGTTAGCTGTTGATACTAAATGGTCATGCTTCCGGCTATAAGTTTTCACAAAGTCTGTTTCCATGATGACTTTGGCAGGCTCATATAGGTTGTATTTGTACCTTACATCCACTCCCGAGAAGATTTTTGGCAGTGTTTGAAGACATTGCTGTTTATTAAAACTTCAGGGTGTGTTGGTTGGGGGTAGTGCTACTGGTATCTAGTGGGATAGGGCCAGGGATGCTGCTTAGCATCCTACAGTAATGAAGACAGCACCGCCCCCCCCCCCCCCCCACACACACACACCCATAGCAAAAATGATCTGGCCCAAAATGTCAGGTGTCCAGGCTGAAAAACCCTAACCCTCGTCTGGGTGATTTGGTCCAGTAACATCAGGAAGGGTTAACTCATCACTCTCAGGCTTAATTGAGTCATTAAAAAAGAAAAGAAAAAGGTGAGACTCACTGGCTTTGACCAGACAGAGGGTTCTATTCTGTCTCTACCGTTTCTTGGTAGTGCTGTAACTGGGCCGGTTGGTTAACCTCCCACATCTCATTTTCTTTGACTGTAAAGTGGGGCTGAAGTCCTTACCTAACAGGTTTGTGGTGAGGATCTAACAAGTGAATGCACTTAAGTTCCTTCCCTGAGGTTATAGTCCCTGGCTGGGCTGGGATGTTACTCCTAGAGTGGGAGTGGGGGAGAGTAACCATCAGGTGTAGCAGCATAACAGCAGCTCAGAATAGGACAGTAATAGTTGAAGCAATGGAAGATACTAGGTTTGGGATTGATTTTGCAGCAAGAACAGCAGGATTAGTTGATGGATTGGGTGTGGGCCAGGAAATGAGGAATGACCAAGATTATTGGTGGCAAGTGACGAGTAAATGAAGGGTCTGCAATAGGAAGGACAGCAGGTAAAGCAGGTTTCTAAAGCAGGGCATCAAGACCTTGGTTTTAGAGAACGCTTGAATGTTCGAATCGCTGTTAGAAATTCAAATGGAGAATTCTTGTGGACACCTTGACACCTGAATCTGCAATTTGGAGGAGGGGTCTGGCCTCTCTTGCAAATATCCCAGAATTGCTGTGGGACTGGATGAGATCCTCCGGGGAGGCACAGTGACAGAGATGAGGTCTAGGATCTGAAATTGCAAAGGTTCATGGGAAGGAGAAAAACCGAGTGTGTGTCCTTAGGAGCCAAGTGGAGAAAGTGTTTTAAGGAGGAAGTGATGACCAGTGTCATGCTATCAAGAGGTCTTATGAGCCCCAAGAGCTCTTAGTTGGCATTTGGAATGAGGAGGAAGAGAGGCTGATTAGAGGGGATCCAAAGGAAGGTGGGGAAAGGCAGAAGTAAAGACAAGATGCAGAAAGATGCAGGGCTGATGCAGGGCTGTCTTGGGGGCAGCCCTGGTGGCGCAGTGGTTTAGCACCGCCTTTGGCCCAGGGTGTGATCCTGGAGACCTGGGATTGAGTCCCATGTCAGGCTGTCTGCATGGAGCCTGCTTCTCCTTCTCCCTCTGCCTCTCTCTGTCTCTGTCTCTCATGAATGAATAAATAAATAAATAAATAAATAATCTTAAAAAAAAAGAACTCTTGGGAGATCTACCAAGAGGAATAGACAAATGAACCTGTAGCTGGCATTGAGAACTGGAAGTAGTGCTGTGGGTTTTGTTTGAACCAGGAGAGGAGATGCCAGAAAGTATGGGCAAAGGTAGGTGGGATTGGGAAATTCGGATTCCCTTGTGGAAGGATGTTTGAGCACAGTGAGTGTGAAGGCTGGACAGCTCTTAGAAGAAGGGCCCATGGGGCAGGGCCCCAGCCTGAAGGGTTAGGGCTTGGCATCTCCAACTGCATCACCCACTGTGCACAGTGGTCCTCATTTTCTCTGTCTGTGAAGGAGGGGTGGCGACAGCACCCAAGACACCCTGCGAACTTGGTGCATAGAAGGCTGAGAGGGAAGGCAGAGCCTTACCGAGGGCCTGGCATTGGTGGTAGCTAGTCAAGTCAGTGTGGCCTCTTGTAAGGAGGCACAGGTCTCAGGCTCACAGCAGCAGGAAGAGAGGCAGGGATGGGAGCCGGCTGGACGCAGAGGAAGATGAGGCAGCAAATGAGATGAGGGACAGGGAGTAACAGCTAGGTGGTGGCTGACAGGGTCATCTCATGCTTCTGTAGATTGACTCAGCTCAGCTGGATAGTTCTTTTGCTTCCCTCACTTGGAATCTCTGCAGTCAGGTGGCAGCTCAGGTTGGACGACCAACTGGGCTGGAACATCTAAGATAGCTTTACCATCACATGTCTAGATGCCTTGTCGTTCCTCCCGTGGCCTCTCTCCCCATGTGTCATCTCACCCTCCGGGTCCTTTCTTTTCTGGTATGGTCATCAGACTTCCTGCATGGTGGCTGGCTTCCCAAGAACATGAAGCCAAAGGCTGCTGGGTCTTAGGGCTTTAGCCCAGCACAGGCACTGCATTCTGTTAAGTAAGCTGAGTCACGGGGCCAGCCCGGAGTCATTATGGAAGAGAACTGCACTAGGGGTCGTGGGGGGACCACCAAAGTCAGCCATAGTCACCTCGTCAGTAAATGTCAGAGCCAGGTGTAGCCCCAGGTTTGTCTGGCTCTGCGTCCCATGCTCTTAACTCTCACTAGCTACCATCTGGTGTTGGGCATGAGGAGTAAGGCAGGTCGTGGTGGTGCAGGATACATATTCTACAATCATACTTCCCAGAGTGATCTGGATCTTGTAGCCCTCATGGCACGTGTCACCAGCACCTACTCCCTTGAGCTCCTATCATCTGTTCAGCCCTTCACCTTCCTCATTTTTCATCCTTCCTCAAACCCCATCTGAAACTTTATTTTCTGCAAAATGGGAATGCAGTCAATTGCCCAGGGGTGTAGAAAGCACACATAAAGCTTCCAGCAGAGTCGACTCAAGTCAGCGCCAGTACATTTCTTGCCAGTCTGACCGAGAGGCAGCCGACCTGGATTCCTGGTGGGATATGTTGTGGTTGAGTGTCCCTGTCGGACCAGTCTGAGTAGAATTAAGGGAGGGGAAAGATATATACCCTGAGACCTCCAGCCATTCTAGGTGTGAGAGCTAAGTTGGTGGGGGCATCCATCTTCCACCCCATATTGCCTGGGCTGGATCAAGTGTGTGAACTCACCTCCATTTCTCTCCTGTCTTCAGCAAATGGAAAGGATCCTAAAGAAAGCATCTAAAACCCACAAGCAGAGAGTGGAGGTAAGTCACATGCCCATGCAGAAGACCAGGCTATGTAGGGTCTGAGTTGGGCCCAGAGGCTAGGAGCCTGGCAGAGGGAGCCATTGGAGTGTTGGGGTCAGGGGGATGGGGGTACTCAATAGAAGCAACGCCTCCCCTCTGAGTCATTTAAGGCTGAGCCCAGGGTTCAAAGGTAGGTGGCTTTGGGAGGAGGGGGCTCACTGAGGAGAGGCAGGATAGTGGAGAAGTGGGGGTGGGCAGCACCACACAACCTTCATGCTCTGTCTGAGGCAGTGCTGATGTGGTTTTTCTTGGCTTCCCCAGGACTTCAACAGACACTTGGACACCCTTACGGAGCATTATGACATTCCCAAAGTCAGCTGGACGAAGTAGCCTCCCCACCCAGGGTATGCAGTGGCATCGAGGGGAATTGGAAGGCAAAGTTAAGGTTCTGTTTGGTGCCTTTGGTATTTTCTAGAAACATTCTTTTACACACACCCTTGCGTTTTCTGCTGAGACAGATGCTTTTCCAAAGCAGTGTGCCCTCTTGCTGGAACTTGATTAAAGTAAAACTGTTCTTTTACTCCATTTCAGTTTGTTGGTAGCATAGAAGGTAAACTTTTTTAGTTTGGACTGGAAATTTTGTACAGGTTTATTTAGAGATTAAGGTTATTTCTGTGTCACATACAGAAAAGCGTCTTTACCCCCAAGTTGCATCTCATTCTGACAGTCATCCAGCTAGCTGTCTTTACTGGGATGAAACGGACTCCAGAGGATAAGGAGTTAATGCCAGCATGGACTCCAGAGGATAAGGAGCTAATGCCAGCACAGCCTGAGCTTACAGACCCCGCGCGGCCTGCGTGAGCTGTCCTCCCAAGCACCATTTAGCTTGGGGCTTATTCTCTTCCTTCCAGAGCCTAGGGAAGCCACTTAAACCTTCATGGCCTTCAGAATACCTCCTCAGCCACCTGGTGTGTGAGACAATGCAGCCTGGGAAGCAGAAGAATCTCCAAATGCAAGGATATAGTACACACCTTGTCCCTGTCTGAGCAGCCTGTGGCCGGCACGCAGTCTCTCCTCCTAGGGTCCCCATTCCAGACATGTCTAGAGGGTATCACCGTGGCAGACTTCATTAATCAAGGACAGCATCCCTTTGTAATGGACCCAGACACAGCCTGCCTCACTACCCTCAACCCTAGGCTCTAAGCAGTCCCCACGTTTATTCAGAGTTGGCAGAGAACATGTAGCCTGCTTGGTGTTTTTGGCCTAAGGACACCTCAGGGGTGACAGAACCTGGGCAGAGCCCCAGCACCAAGAGTACAGTCAAAGGGGATGACGGAGGTCCTGGTGCTGGAGAGCCCTGATCTCTGAGGACCTGTGTTATACCTGCATGATGAGGATCAAACCATATATACTACTGGGAGGAAGACTGTTGACCTAGGTAGTGGCAGAGTAGTAAAGTCAAAAGAGAAAAACCAAGTGTTGGGTTTGGGGCTGTCACGTATGAACAGAATAAAGCAAAAAATAATTATTAAATAGAAGTCTGAGTGTCTTAATTATATGCTATTTGATTACCACTAGAAATGCTGCTTTTGGGGATTATTGCACATGTAGAATGTGCATACTGCAAAGTGACTGTTCACCCGCAACTTGGAAAGAATTAGGTGACCTGTTTTTCCACCTGTGGCTTGCAGCCCATCCAAGAGGTAATGTACTCTCATTAATGGTGGTTCTTTTTTTTTTTTTTTTTAAAGATTTATTTATTTATTTATTCATGAGAAACACAGAGAGAGCGAGAGAGAGGCAGAGACACAGGCAGAGGGAGAAGCAGGCTCCAGGCAAGGAGCCTGATGTGGGAGTCAATCCCGGGTCTCCAGGATCACACCCTGGGCTGCAGGCGGCGGTAAACCGCTGCGCCACCGGGGCTGCCCAATGGTGGTTCTTTAGGCAGGTTCCCCCACTGTCTAGCAGAAAGGCTAGACACTTGGCGGCCTTTTCCATCCATGAGCCAGCAGCCGGGTTTGTGAGCTTGATAGGATGCTGTGAAAAGCCATTGTCCGTATGCTGGAAGATAGATCTTCTACCTCCCTGCCTACCTAGTCTAAAGCTGAATAACAGCAGGATTTCTCTTCTGTGGGTTAACTGCTAGGCTGGATGGTTCTAGGCCATGTGGAGTAGTTCACTTGTGTGTTGACTTGCCTGGGGCCAGAAGGTCCTCCTTCAGAACCTCTGTGTAGCCTATCCCCTTGGCCAACACAAGTCACATTGCCAAACCCCGTCAGGGAGAGAACTCCACGGGTAAGAACACCAGGAGACTTGGTTGAATGGAGGCCATCACTGTTAGTCTACCACAGTGTTTCTCAGACTCTTGTGGATGTTAGACCCTCCTGGGAGCATTAAGAACCAACTGATGCTGCCTGGGGTGGGGTTCAGTCACTGAGATTTTTCAGAGCTCCTTAGAGGACCCCAATAGGCAGCAAAGCTTGAGAAACCCTGGTCTACCACAGCAGGTCTGGTCTTTTCTGAGATGCTGTGGAGGTCGAATCTGGCTTACACATTAAGTGTAAATGCCAAGGATGACATTCAGATGTGACTTTAAATCCCCACACACATGGAAAAAGGAGGGTAGGAGTCATTTTGTGTAAACAGGGTTTACTGCAATGGTACTTTTGGCGCTTGGGAGTGTTCCTCCCTCCAAAAGACTTTTGTCCAATCTATACTCCTAGCCCTGCCCCCCTCAATTCTGATTTTAAACATCTAAAGATTGCCTAGAGCAAGCCTGAAAGGAAATGCTCCATAATGAGAGGGGTCACCTCTCCAGGGTAGTTTTCCTTTTTGTTTTAGGCTTTTTGGCATTTCCTTAGTTTTCAGTGAGGTGTATAATTTTGTAATTTTCAAAAGACATGTTTTCCTACAACATTGAAATAATTTGGGCAAACCACGAGGCTAGGCATGAGAGAGTGTAGTACAAGACACTGTCAAAACTCCCCCAGATGTTTCGTGGAGCCCAGTAGTCTTAAAATATTCCAGTTTTCTCCTCTGGATTTTCTTGCACTTCATCTCTATCCAAAGCAGAGTGTATATATAATCAAGAGCCATCTTTCAAAACCCCAAAGGAGGTAGGAGGGGAAGGTTAAAAGTCAGAGGCAGGCAGCCTGAGTAAATGGGACTGATGCTGCAGGGTTGGGGTCCCCAGAGCATTGTGCTGGTTCCCTGGGACAACGTGGAGGCATTTCTCACAGCCCGAGTATTCATAAAAGCAATGAGAGACTCCGCTGCTTCAGCAGGGGACACAGTTGGCATCACCCGCTGCAGTCACTACAGAAAGAAGTGCTTTTCGCTAGGATTCGGTGCGGCGTGGTTTTCAGGTCATTCCAGGCAATCCACAGGCACTGACGAGGGTTGACACTGACATACAGGTAGTGACTGTCGGTAAGGCCCGACTGCCGTTCAGAGTTGGGCTTCTTTCCGAGTGACCGCCACCTTCCCCTTCCCCCGTAAAGCGTTGTCACAACTGGTAACTGTATTTGTTCCTAGACTCCCCCGCCGGACTATGAGTGTCACGGGGCTGGGCCCAAGGTGAGTTCCACAACCGGTGCGTCCCCTCACTGGGACCCCGGAGGCGGGGCAGGGTTTCCAGCGGGCCGGGCAGCCAGCGAGTGCGCGGCTTCAGTCGGCCCCGCCCGGCTCCGCTCGGCCAAGCTCGGCCCCGCCCCTCTGGGCCTTACTTCCGGGACGCTTGACGCCGGAGCGGGAAATAAGGTCACATCGGGCGTATTGCGCCTGCGCGCACTCCGCCTCGCGCCTGCGCCTTTCCGGCAGCCCCTCCCCGACCGGACATAACGGTCCGCGCGCGGCTCCCCGGACCGGAAGTGGAGGCGAACTGTCGCGGGGCGCGCCCGGCCTTGCTCAACGCCCGGCAGTCCCCGCCGTCGCCGCCGCCCTCGGCAGCTGCCGAGGCTTCCCGCAGCCGTCATGTCCGCCAGCGCCGTCTACGTGCTGGACCTAAAGGGCAAGGTACATATGGCTCCCCACCCTTCCCGTTGCCAGGCAACCGGTGGGGCCTCGCCCCCTGGGGGGACCCACCCTGTTGCTAGGTTACTGGCCAATGGGACCCACCCTAGTCTTAGGCAAAGAGGCTGCTCGGCCTCACCTGAGGGCCTCACCCTGTTGCTAAGTAACAAGGCGGGGGCTTCGATCCGCGAGCCGCGCCCTGTCGCCAGGTAACACAGCTGCATGACACCCCCCCCCCCTCCACGGTGTGCCGGGTGCTCCCGCCTCGTAGGGGCACCGGGAAAACCCGAGGCGGCGGCAAGGGCGGGCCGCAGCCGTCCGGGAAGCCGGGACTGGCGCTCAGGGGCTGTGCGACCCTTGGCCGGAGGTGGCGAGGCGTGTCGGGGACAGCGTGCCCTCGGGCCAGCCCCGCCCTCTTTACCCGGCGATTTCATCTTGGCAGTCCCGGCCCGAATTTCTTAACGTTTGGTGTGACACTGAGTTACAGGGTTAAGTGAAGTGGGTGGTGGGAGGGCCATTTTACAGAGGGAGAAGCTGAGGCACAGGCGGGCAACCTGCCCAAGGTCACACCAGCCATAGAATGGCAGGTCTAGGAGTCAGCTGATATTTGGGGAGCACCTACCAAGTGCTGCACGGGGTGGTTAGTCTTGGGCTACCTTTGGTGAGCAAAACTGGAGTCGTCGTGGAGCTCGCAGGCTGGTGAGAGAAAGGGACACTGATCTGAGAAAGCACAAATCAATGTCAGTTGCCCTACTAGAGCAGTGAGGTTGTAATAGGAGACTATGCCTGGACCGGGGGTCAGGGAGGGCTTCCGGGAGGCAGTGACAGATCTGGCGGAGACCTGAAGGAAGAGTTGCACACGTCTAGGACCCAGGTGCCTTTCCCAGGGGACCCTGGGAAAACTTCTTAAAGGAGGGGGTCTCAGAGCCTTTCCGAGGGGGCTGCTGCCTTTCCCCGAGTCCATCCTGGCTAGAAGGCAAGTGAGTATTGGCCTCTTGATCTGGGAGTCACAGGAACGGTAGCAACAACGCTAACAAGCCCTGCACAGATCCCTGGGAGAGAGGTGGACGTTGGGCCTCGCGGGGCAGGCAGGAGTTAGCTCAGAAGCACTGGGGAGTGAAGACGTGAAGTGGCTATCCCTTCCTGCCCCCACTCCCAGGGTACCCCACCCTAGCACTTTCCAAGAGTTCCTGGAGTGGGTCGCCTGCTCTGGATGCCACCCAAAGTCAACAGCTAGTGAGGCGCAGTGCTGGGCTCCCTTTCCCAGCCCTCAGGCAAGGGAAGACACAGGGCACCCCTGGGGTTGAGTGTGTGCAGCATTCCAGAGTGCCTGTAGCTCCTGTTCTTCCTTCCACGCTGGCCACCGTGTCCGCAGAGTTCCCAAAGGCTGCCTTATCTCAATCTCTCATTCCCTGAGCAAACATTTCATGAGCACCTTGCATGCACCAAGCCCAGTGCTGACTATCTCACTGTGACTGTGCAGTTAGGGCTGAGTTCAAAACCCATCTCTGCTGCTTAGTTGTGTGACCTCAGGCAAGTACCTTCTCCTCTCTGAGCCTTGTTTTCCTCACTGCTCGCACAGGCTGGTTATGGTGTTATTGGACAAACTCTCTGAGCGGACGTTTGAGACAGGCTAGCACCTCGCATGGCCCACAGTCCTTGTTAACCCCATTGAGGGCCTCAAGGTCTAGTAGGGGAGATAGATGGAAGCTGACAGATCCAAATGATCAGATCTAGGTAGATTGCAGGGGCATGGACACAGCCCCAGGTAATACAGTTGCCAGCCTCAGTTTTGGCTGCAGATGAAAAGCAGTTACAGAAGGCTTCCTGGAGGAGGGAGGTGCCAGAGCTGGGAACTGACCAGGTATTAGGTGGGCCAGGAGGCATTGCAGTTGGCCCGAGGGATCAGAGCAGCCTGCTGGGGCTGGCAGGTGAAAACCTGGGTAATGCTGGAGCCTAGAGGAGGGCCATGGGTGGTTGAGAATGTCCCTATGGGTATGAGAAACAGAGAGGACCAGTGTGATCCTGGAAAGGAGGAGATTGTAGCCTGGGAGGAGCATGAGCAGACCTGCCTTTTGGGAAGCTCCCAGGGCAGCCATGGGCTTGCCTCTCATCCCCAGCAACCATCGTGCTATTTATTACTCCATTCCCCATAGACCTCAGGTTTTGAAAGGACCTTTTGTGCAGACTATATTTAATAAAAGGTAAGGTAGTAGCACAGTAAGAAATTCATGACCACAAGCCAGCCAGCCAGTGCCTCGGATCACCAAGGAAACCAGCATGGCCATGTTTAGCTGCTAGAAAGTCCTCCACTGACACTTTGCCCTTATCTTTCTTGTTTCTCTGCAGCTTCTGACACCACTGCCACACTCCTCAGTGGGCTTCCATTGGCCTCCTGAGGCACTGCTCTCTCGTTTTGCCCCTTTCTGTCACCGTCTCCTGGCCCCTCCCCTGGGATGTTGGCTCCTCTGGCTTAGGCCTATGGGTCCCACCCTCACTGTCCCTCTCCTTGGGTGGGTTTTAAGTCAAGTCAGTGTGCAGGGAACTCAAGTTTGTACCGTAGTCCACAGTACTCACCTGGAGATCCATTGTTCTCAGGGACATCTCGGAAGTCCCACAGCTGCCACAAATCTGGCATTTCCCAAAATGAACTCGCTGCCGCCCCAGGCCTGCTCTCCTCATCTCAGTGAATGACGGCACTGTCCACGCGCCTGCCCTCATTGGAGACCTGGGTATTATCCTGGCCTTTTTCTCCTCACCACCATGTTCACTCCACAAACATTCCCTGAGCACCCCCTGGAGTCAGGCTCTGTTGTGGGTGCTGGGACCTAGCCCTCAACAAGTTGGAAGTGGTCCCTGTTCTTTGAGTGTTCGACTCTGGTAGGGGGGACAGACCATAAAAGAGGATAGAAATTATAGTGAACCAGTGTGGTGGGCAGTGAAGGACAAGTGGAGTTGGGGTATGATCTCTCTGGCAGGGCAAGCAAGGAAGACTTTTTGGAGGAGGTGCCATCTGAGGTGAGGCATGAGAAGTTAGAAGAGGCCAAGGCATTCTGGGCAGAGGGAACTGCAAGTACAAAGGCCTGGAGGCAGGAGTAGGTGTGGATGGCTCAGAGAGTGGCTTGGGGACCAGGATGGCTGAAATGGAATGACCTGGGGGTGGAACAGTGGGGGTGGGAGGGGAGATGAATGGAGAGGCGTTGGCAGGGCCATGAAGAACCAGTTTGTCCTGGGGTTCAACTTGTAGTTTGTTTTCCGACACTTTCAGCAGGGAAAACCTTCTGTTGAAGGAGACTCCTCTTGCTTTTTGTGGGAAAGGAACTGTGGGGATCAAGAGCAACCATAGGGGCAGCGGTTTGTCACCGCCGCCACGTTGCCTGCCTTCCTTCAATCTGTCCTGTCCCCTGCCTTTGTCTTCTCATCTGGGACCTGCAGCCCAAGCTCTAAGGCTGTCCTCACTCTACCTAACCAGTACCCCCAGGTTCCCCCATGGGCTGTGCCTCTCACTACCTTGTGGCTTCAGCAACCCTGGTCCCTCTGCTTCTATCTTTCCTCCCCCTCTGGCCTCAGTTGGAAGGTCACACCCTTGAGAGGCTCTCAGTTCCTCCTAAGCAAGTGTCACAGTGCAGGTACCCTGTTGGGCCACCTGTGTCCCCAGGCCCAGCGTGGCGTATGGTAGAGGGGCACAGTGCCTGCTATTTGGATGCGCAGGCATCTCTGCAGCCCTGGTGATGAAGGCGAGCAAAATAAATTATTCCTTCCTTTGAGCACTCTGGGGACCTTGGGGCTCCCTGCCGACAGCTGCCCCCCCGCCCCCGATTGTGTACCTGGGGAAGAAGATGGGCCTTGCGAAGCCCAGGAAAGCAACATTTAGTGAGCAGAAGGGACCATGTAGGGGGTAAGAACTGGTTAGAATCCAGGCTCTGCTGGCTATGTGACCTCAAGCAGGTGGTGCCAGGTTTCTGGGCGTCACTGTGTATCTCTGTCAAAGAGAGAGAACGTGTACCACGTTCTGCTTCGTGGTATATATCCCCGGCAAGGAGCATATGAGAGGGTGCACGGGAGTCCCTCAGCCCGGGCCTGGTCCACATGCGCATGAGCTCACACCCACTGGGTGCTGGATCCCTAAGAGGCCTTCTGGACCTCAGCAGGAAGAGGGCACAGACAACGAAAGAGAAACCAGGAAAGAGATTCTCGTCTGGACTCTCTCTGATTCTCTCTCTGTCCTGGCTTTACACAACAAAGGTGGTGTATTTTGTGGAACTCTGGGCTCTAAGGCCGGTGCTGCCCAGCGCGGCCTGCTCAGCAGGGCCCCTGTCAGCACGGCGCTGTCCTGCAGCCTCGTCGTCCCAGGGGCTCTAGGCAGCGGCTCCAGACAGAGCCTGGCGCGCCAGCCTTGGGCCCCCCTCGTCCCCTCACGGAGGGGTAGCGCAGGTGGACCAGACTACCTTTCTTTGATGAGTTCAGTCACCGTGCAAACCCGGGAAACTCCATCACCCCCTGGGGCTTCCTCCCGCCCCTCGTGTCCAGCCCGTCCCCAGGCAGCCATTACGTGTTTTCTCTCACTGCCTGCGAGGGTTTAATGTAAGTGGGATCCCATGGGACGGGATACGCCGTCTGTTGTCTGGCCCCTCACCTGAGAGCCCCCCGTGCTGCCACCGCGTCAATAGTCATTCTCATGGCTGAGGCGCCTCCGGTCTGGATGCAGCTCTTGTTCCCATTCACCTGTTGAAGGACATTGGCCCTCTCTCCAGCCTGGATCTATTTACAATAAAGCTGCAGTGGACATGTGCCTACTTGTCTTCACAAGGACATACGGTTTTGTTTCTCTTGGGTAAATACCTAAGAGAGGAACAGCTGGGTCTGAAGCTAGGTTTACCGGTGTGAGAGCCTGCCAGACTTTACCAAAGTGCTTATCCCATGTTAAGTCCCCAGGAGTAGTGGACAAAGGTTCCAGATGCTGCGTGTCCTAAGCCACGGGTTATGAAAGAGCGAGAAAGAAGAAACAGCAGCCCTATGAGGGGCTTCTCCTCAAGCCACAGGGGAGTTCTGGTGGACGCCAGCACTCAGCAGTATTCCCTGAGTGTGAGTGGGCACCCTGCCTCAGGCTGAAGAGCAGGGTGCATCAGCATGGGAAAGGCTCTGGGAAGCCTGCAGCGAGAGCCTACAGGTCGTCTTCACCTGGCATCTCCCGCTTGACTCAGTCCTGGACCGTTGCCCTGCATTCCCCTCTCCTGCAGAGCACCCGGTTGGCCCCTGTGATGTTCACTTTGGGAACTGCTGTCCTTGAGGAATTCCCTGGGGGATAGAGATCAGGCCCGGAGTCTCTGATGTTCAGGGATGTGAATAGGGTTCCTGTGGCGAGGGAGGCTGGCGCTCTCACCCCCCACCCCAGGCACCTGGCTGGGGGACTCGCAATGAAAGCAGTGTTCCTCCCCCACCTCCGCCCAGGTGCTCATCTGCCGGAATTACCGCGGCGACGTGGACATGTCGGAGGTGGAGCACTTCATGCCTATCCTGATGGAGAAGGAGGAGGAAGGGATGCTGTCGCCCATCCTGGCCCACGGGGGCGTCCGCTTCATGTGGATCAAGCACAACAATCTGTATCGTATCCCTTTGCGGGGGAGCCCCCAGGGGCCTTCCGTTTGGGCTTGTGCATGTGCAGGCCCAGGGCTGGTTCAGGCACACCCTCCTGGAGCTCCCCGCAGCCCGCGGAGATGAGCAGGGAACAGACAGTAACAAGTGTGATGGGCGCTGGGAGAGGAGAGGGTATGGCAGGGGACCTCAGGTAGTCTGGGGATCCAGGAGGGCTTCTCTGAGAAGGGACACCTGGAGGAGACCTGCAGGAAGACCATGTATCCACTATCCAGAGCAGTTGGCAGACACCAGGAGCCATAGGCCTGGGAAAAGGCTCTGTAAAGGGGAAGTGAGGCTTATTCTAGAAGCCACAGTAGGGGTGGCTAGAGCATCGGGGGAGGGGGAAGGGCAGGGAAGTGGGGTATGGTGGGAATGAGGCCCAAGTGGTCAGCAATACCAAGGGGTCTCATAGGCCGTCACTTTTGACAGGAAGCCTTTGGAGGGTTTCAGGCAGATGGGGTGACATAAAATCAGATTGGCGTTTTCTGAAGGTTCCTGGCTGCTGAGCAGAAGCCAGACTGTAGGGGACAGGAGTTAATGTGGGGAGGGGACGAGGAAGCTGGGGTCATCCCTCGAGCCTTGTGTGCACATTACAGTGAGGGAGGTCCTGACCTGCGACCCTCGTCTGGCCGCCTAAGGTCCAGCCCCTGTAGCCTCTCTTCTCCTTCCCCTCTCTCCAGAGGGCCTGTGAGGGGCAGCTCTACAGAGTACCGCTGGCAGCCTGTAACCTGGGAGTTGGCTGTCTGTGAAGCCACCCTGGGTCTGGGCGGTGGCTGCCCAGGTGTGCAGGTGGTGGTGGTGTGAGCTCAGTAGGAGCCGTCTGACCAGTTTCCAGTTGGGTCCCAGTTTCATGCCTGGGCAGCCAGGGAGGAGATGGCAATGGCTCAATCCCTTGGGTTGCTGCTGCATGGCACCCCCTTCCTGCTCCCTAGTTCCGCTGTTGGGTAATAGTTTCCAGCAGGGCATAGCCATGAGAGCTGAAGGTGCCCACTACCCCTCCTTAGAAAGTGCCTGACGGGCATGTGGTCCCAGGCTGGAGGGAGGAAGCCAGCACTGCTTCAACTAGCCCAGCATCCATTTTCTGTGTCTACTCTCTGCAGGAAGTGTGGTGGACTGGCCCTTGCCATCCCTTTCACCTGGCTCTCATATCACAGCACTAGGGCCACAAGGCGTGTCATGACCATGCACATCCAGGGCATAGCACACGGGCCTGCAGTGGAGGAACCAGACTCCCCGGGTGGCTTGAGGCCCTATAAGGAAAGGAACAGGAAGTGTCCAGCACATACTGACCCCCTGAGTCAGGGACCCTCCCCTATGTGGGAGGGAGAGTCTATGCCACACTCTTTACACACATCACCTCAGTGAATCCATTGTTGGGCCTCTATCAAATAAGCAAGAAAATGAAGCTTCTATTTAAAAGGTTTGCTTTAGGAGCCAAGGCTTGCAGGAAGGGCGAGAGCCAGCGTTGGCCCTGGCTGCCTCCACTGGAGCCTAGCTTGGGAGCCCTGGACTTCAGGAGAGTCACATAAGCTATTGGCTTTGGGGGAAGGACCAATTGTGGTCCTGCCTTCTGCTCCCAGAATGAGCCACACTGCCTCCCCACCCTGGGCTGTTCACCCCACCTGAGGTGCACCCCCACTGGCACCCCGGACTTTGGCTCTCAGCCCAGATATCCCCTCCTCGGGACAGCCCCTCATCCCAAGCCCCCTGCTGCCTCTTTGTCATTGAGGACTCCCCTGGAGCTGAGACCACATCTGCTAACTACTGTGTCCCAGGCCTGGCTCAGACCATAAGCTCCATAACCTGCTGAAGGCCAAGTGAATGGCTGGGGCTTGGGGTGAGGGAGGCTCTGAGCCTGGGGTGCAGGTGGGGGGTCCTTCCAAGATTGTGCAGCGCGTCGGGGTCTGCTAGGCCTGTTCATGCCTCTGAACACTCCTTAACTGTGGCCGCCATGCAGTGGTTGCCACGTCCAAGAAGAATGCATGTGTATCGCTGGTGTTCTCCTTCCTTTATAAGGTGGTACAGGTGAGTTGAGCCACAGGGGCCTTGGAGGGGTATCCATAGGCCTGGCTCTGCTGCAGGCCTCCACCCACACTGGCCACCCAAGGGCTACAGCCTCCCTAGGGAGTTCTAGGGCTAGAGCCCCAGCAAATGGGAAAGGGGAGCTCCACCTGCCCCGTGTGTGGGATTTTATGGCCTTAGTTGTTTCTCTACGCTGGTGAGGAGAGGAAAGTGAGCAAGAGGTGGAGCTCATGACAGGTCAGTGCACCCTGACCCCAGAGGGACAGCTGTGCCCTGCAACTGGCTGTGGAAGGGTAGAACATGACCACCTGAGAGTCAGAGCTTAGGGAGGTAGGCTAGCCAGGAGGAGGGCAGAACCAAATTCTGCTCCGAGATGGAGAAGTGGTGAGAGCAGCAGGTGCAAAAGCCCTGGGGCAGGAGTGCATGTGGTATGGTGGGGTTGGGGGACCTCAGGCTGCCCAGTGTGCCCGGGATACTGGGCTGAGGTCAACCAGGTAGGCGGGGCTGGACTAGGGGGTCGGAGGCACACAGGGCCCAGTGAGGAATTCGGATTTCGTTTCCAGCCTGATGAGAGATGGTGGGGGACTTGAAGCAGGAGACTGACGAGACCTGATTAGGGTTGAGGTTGGCTGGCTGAGAAGTGGAGGAGGAACTTGAGGGTGGCAGGGAGGCCTGTGAGGACATTGCCATAGGCTTCCAGAGGAGAAATGGAAGGGCCTGGCTGGAGCAGGGGCTGTGGGGTTGAAGAAAGTGGAGGATGGGACCCAGGAAGCCTGGCATGGGCCAAGGAGAGCTGTTGTCCCTCAGGTGGTGCCATGTGCAGCTAGTCAGGAGCCACTTGCCCTAAATAAAGGGGAACGGGAGCCAGTCTGGATGATGAGGACATGGAGGCAGGAGGGCATGCGTCCCCCAGGGAGCCCTAAGTGTGGGCTAGGGTGTAGGCATTTGTGCCGGAGCAGTGAGGCCATTATAGGAGTGACTTTGAGTAGAGGCCCAGCAGCTGGTCCTGGAGTGCAGGGGGGCACCATCGGACCACAAGGGGGCAGGGGAAGAGGGAAGGTCCTCTCTGCTGCGTTTGGCATTTCCTTTTTGCCTCAGTGATTTTCCTTCAGTGTTCGTGCCAATGAAACTTCTCTCCCTTCCCTTCTCTGATCCTCTTCATCTTCTGTGGAACCAGAGGAAATGTGTCCGCAGCTCAGGGGAGTTGGAAGAGTCTGGAAGAACTGCTACTTCTGTCCCCAGTGGCTCTTGGCCCTCACCTGAGTCACTTGTGACTCAGAGGCAAAGGATGACAGCACAGGGATTAAAGAGAAGCTCAGATGGGGCCCTAGACCAGGGGCGGGGGTAGAGGGGCTGTCAGGGAGGAGAGGAGAGGTCCTCAGAGGTGGAGATACAGGGCTTCTGCCCAGGCCCCCTGAGGACGCCTGCACCGCCTACAGCCCGCTTCCTGCCTCTCAGTCAGCCAGTGCTGTCGTCCTGCCTGTGATCCCTGAGCCCAGGGCCTAATCTGTGGCATGTCGCCAAGCCTGGCACATGGGCAGATGCAGCTTGTGGGCAAGAGGGCTGTGGGATCTGGGGCACAAAGGACAGGTGGCTTTGTGCAGGCGCTCCCCATCCTCCACCCCGGCTCACCCATCTGCCGCTCCTGCCGTCTGCACCGCAGGTGTTTTCAGAGTACTTCAAGGAGCTGGAGGAGGAGAGCATCCGAGACAACTTTGTCATCATCTACGAGCTATTGGACGAGCTCATGGACTTCGGCTACCCCCAGACCACCGACAGCAAGATCCTGCAGGAGTGAGTGGGCAGGGCAGGGACCCAGGCCTGGCGACAGCACATTGTGGGCTGCCACCCCAACCCATCCCTTGGGGCGTTTGTAGGTTCTGGGCAGCTCAGTGTCCCCCCTGGTGCTAGGCAGTGCACTAAATGCTTTGTCACTAGGGAGTCACCTACCTTTGTTTCCACCGTCCTACATGAGAGAATAGCGCATTCTTCTTTGCAGTTGTGTGCTTCACACTTGGGGGCGGGTGAATTAAGGACTTCCCATGAGAGCACTTCCCCTTCACTCTTTTCAGAGTCTGGAGTGCTGCTCCCTGTTTCACATGGCACAGAGGGGCACTCAGAGAAGCCACATAACTGGCCCACATCTCACACCTGTTGTTCCCCAAGTGGGATTGGGGTCACCAGCTTCTCCCCCAAGGGTCAGTCCCCTCTGCACATCGAGCAGAAGAGCAAATTCAGGTCCCCTCCTTGCACCATCCCTCAAGTGAAAAATGAACACTCTATGCTCATTGTAACTCAAGTTTGTTGGGGCTTTATGGACACACTGTAAGATATTCTTGTATTAAACAGCTCAGGTGAAACCAGAGCCTGCCTTTTCTGGAACCTGCTCTAGGGAGGGAATGTTTTCAAAATGTCAGTGCCTGAACTCCTTAACTCTTGGCACGGTCCCACAGGTACATCACTCAGGAAGGCCACAAGCTGGAGACGGGGGCCCCAAGGCCCCCAGCCACTGTCACCAATGCAGTGTCCTGGCGGTCCGAGGGCATCAAGTACCGGAAGAACGAGGTGTTCTTGGATGTCATCGAGTCTGTCAACCTCTTGGTAGGCTTCCTTTCCTTCCTTTTCTTTCAGAAAAATTTTGTCTTTTCCATGGTTGAAATAAAAGCACTGGGACTTTTAAAACTAGCAAGGCGCTGAGAGACATTTACTTTCTTTATGACAGCAGATCAGCAGGGTTCAGCTTAGGTCACTCATGGCTGTTGGGGAGCCTCTTTTCTCTCCACTAGCTTGTGTTCCTGTTTAGAATCAGTGCAGACACATCGTGGCTGTCACTCTTTAAAGCAGTGTGGAGAGTTAGAAAGCAGAGTGTTCCATTTTCAGAAAGACCCCTCATTTAAGATTTATTAGCATCCTTTTGGACTTCATTCTGTAAATTCACAAACATGCACTGTTCTTTCCATGAAGCCGAAAGTGTAGGATGTGGTTCTGCAACTTGTTTTATTATTGTTGTTTGACTGTGTATGTTTGCTTTTTCCTTTTATTTTTTAAATTTTCACTAATAAAACTGACCTTCTTTTCTGTTAATTTCTGCACATGTACAGATTTTTGTACCCCAGTGCCATAATCAGGAGCTACATCCCCTGTAAGCCCTCCCTACTGCCGCCCTCGGCAGTCTGACCCTTCTGCCTCTCCCCCCACTGCTGGCAGCCACCACTCCAGTCCCTGGCACTGCACAGTTTCTCCTCCCCAGTCAGCCATGGTCCTCAGTCAGAATGCCCTCCTCCTGACTATTGTCAGAAGGTCAGTAGCCGCCTCACACTATATCACAAGGCTTATGTCATTCACCTCACTTTACGTCATCATGTAGGTGCTTTGTCCTCTGACATCATCACAAGAACGGTGGGTAACAGTACAATCAGGTGTTTTGAGAGAGAAACCACATCCACTTATCTTTTATTATAGTATATTTTTCTAATTGTCCCATTATAGTATATTCTAATTGTCCCATGTCACAATTAATTCATTGTGACTCTCTTACCATGCCTGATTTATAAATTAAGTTTTATAAATTAAAATTTATTAGAGATCTATATAGGAAAAAAACATAGTATATATAGGATTTGGTACTGTCTGCAGTTTCAGGCATCCACTGGGGGTCTTGGAGCATATTTCCTGCAGATAAGGAGGACAACCCTAGAATGTTGTCTTTTTGAGATTGTCCTATGAATGGCATCATACAGTATGTGGCCTTTTGAGTCTGGCTTCTTCCTTTTTTTTTTTTTTTTAAAGATTTTATTTATTTGTTCATGAGAGAGACAGAGAGAGAGAGGCAGAGACACAGGCAAAGGGAGAAACAGGCTCCCTGCAAGGAGCCCAGTGTGGGACTTGATCCCGGATCCCAGGATCACGCACTGAGCCAAAGGCAGATGCTCGACCACTGAGCCACCCTGGCGTCCCTGGCTTCTTCCACTTAGCATAATGCCTTTGAGATAGATCCAAGTTACTACGTTTACCAAAAGTTTGTTTCTTCTTATATTTATTTTATATCCTGAAACATACCTTGTTTACCCATTCAACCTATTGAAGGACTGTTGGGTTTTTTTCCAGTGTTGGGCAGTTGTGAATAGAGTTGCTATAAATGTTTCACATCCAGGTTTGTGTGTAGACAGAAGTTTTCATTTCTCTAGGGAAAACACCCAGGAGTGGGATTGCTGGGTCATATGGTAAGTGTATGTTTAACTTTATAAGAAACTGCCAAATCGTTTTCCAGAGTGACTGCACCATCTTTGCCTTTTCATCAGCAGTGGATGAACATTCTGGTTGCTCCACATCCTTGATCGGTGTTTTGATTTTCGCCATCCTAATCAGTGTGTCGTGTTAGCTTATCATGGCTTTAATTTGTAATTTCCCTAATGGCTAATGATGTTAAACACCTCTTCATGTGCTTCCTTTGTCATCCACATATCATCTTTGGAGAAGTGTCTTTTCATGTCATTTGAGTATTTTTAAATTAGGTTGTTTGTTTTCTGATTGCTGCATTTTGAAAGTTCTTTATATATTCTGGATTATAAATCTCTCGTCTGATATGTGATTTGCAGATGTCTTCTTCTAGTCTGTCACTTGTCTTTTCATTCTTTTGGTCCAGTATCTTTCACAGGACAAAAGTTTTTAACTTTGAGAAAGTCCAGTTACCGATTTTTTGATGTGTGCCATTGGTGCCATGTCTGAGAACTCATCACCAAATCTAACTAAGGTCATACAGGTTTTCTCCTGAATTTCTTCTAATAGTTTTGTAGTTTTACATTTAGATCCATGATCATTTTGAGTTAAGTTTTACATAAGGTACGAGGTTTATATGCATTTATTTTTGCATGTAGAACAGTGTTTTGCAGTTTTTCCAGTATCATTTTTTGAAAAAACCATCCCATTCTCCATTAAATGCTCTTGTATTTTTGTCAAAAAGCAATCGACCATATTCATGCAAGTCTATATCTGGCCTCAGATCTGTGTATCTGTTTATTTGCCAATACCACATTGTCTTGATAACTGTAACTTTATTACGTCTCCATCAGATTATGTGATTCTTCCAACATTCTTCTTTTTTGAAATTGTTGTAGCTATTTAGTTCCTTTGTATAAAATTGTAGAATCAACTTGTCTCTATCTACAAAAAGATCCTACTGGGATTTTAATTGTTATTTTATCAAATAACTGTATTAATCAGTATGGAAGAAAACTTTATCTTTAGTATATTAAGTCTCACAATCCAAAAATGCTGTATGTGTTTTTCTCTCTCTAGGTAGGTCATCTTTGATTTCTGTCATCAACATTTGGTAGTTTTTACTACCTATACATTTTCTTTAGAGCTGTACCTAAGTATTTCATTTTTTGAAGGTGTCGTAAATTGTATATTTTTAATTTTATTTGGTAGAATTTTATTTGGTAGAATTAATTTATTTGATAGTGAAACTATCTGAGTCTAGAAATTTCTTTTTCAGGGTTTTTTTTTAAGAGAGGGGAGGGGCAGAAGGAGAGGGAGAGAGAATCTTAAGTAGGCTCCACGCCCAGTGTGGGGCTCAATCTCACAACGTGAGATCATGACCTAGGCCAAAAGCAAGAGTCAGATGCTTAACCAACAGATACACCCAGGCATTCCTTTTTCAGCATATTTTTAACTACAAATTTCAATCCTCTTAACGGTTATACAATTCAGGTTTTTGGTTTCATCTTGGTTGAGTTTTGGTAGTTTATTTTTAAGAAGCTGATCCGTTTTATCAAAGTCATTGAGTTTATGTGCATAGTGTTTTTGTAGTATTCCCTTTAATGTCTGCAGAATCTTCTTGATGTCTGCAGGGTCTGTGCTTATGTCCTCTCTTTCATTCCTGATATTGGTCATTTATATCTTTTTTCTTTGTCAGTCTTGTGAGAGCCACCTATTTTATTGATCTTTACTAAAAATTGGTTCTTTATTTCATTGATTTATCTCCGTTGTCTTTCTGTTTTCAGTTTCATTGATTTCTGATCTTAGCACTATTGTATCCTTCTCTGTGATTTGGGTTTATTTTGCTCTTCTTATTTTCATTTCTTAAGTTGGAAACTGAAGATACTGATTTGAAAGTTTTCCTCTTTTCTAATATAAATATTTAATGCTATAAACATCTAAGTAATTCTTTAGCTGCATCCCATAATTGGTATGTTGAATTTTCATTTTTGTTCAGCGTATGTTCAAATTTCCCTTGAGACTTCCTTTTGACACATGGATTATTTAACGAAAGTATGTTAATTTTTAAATGTTTGCAGATTTTTCTGTTTTCTTATTGTCACTGGTTTTTAATCTAATTGCATTATTGTCTAAGAATATACTTTTTGTAATGTCAATTCTTTAAAGTTTGTTAAAGTTTATTTTAGTGACCCAGAATATGATCTGTCTTGGTGAATGTTCCATATGCACTTGAAAAAAAAACGTATATTTTGCTGTTGTTGGGGCAAGTGTTCTATAAATGCCAATTAAATCCTGTTATTTGAGTAGTGATATTCAATTCTTCTAGCTTTTTTTTTTTTTTTTTTTTTTTTGCTAATTTTCTGTCTACTGGTTCTACCTATTACTGACAGTGTTAAAAGCTTCAGGTATTATTTATAATTTATGTATTAGCAAATTTCAGCACTGTGCTGATAGGTACAAGCACATTTCAGGTTCTTATGTTTCTTTGGTGAACCAACCCTTTCTTTTATCATTATATAATGTCCTTCTTTATCCCTGGTAAATTTTTTGTTCCAAAACCTATTTTGCTGTTAATATTGTCACTCCAGAGTTCTTTTGATCAGTGTTTACACATTATATGTCTTTCTGTCCTTTTGCTTCTTTTTCTAATCCTTTTATTTTATTTTCAAAGATTTTATATTTTGGTAACCTCTGCCCCCAATATGGGGCTCAAACTCACAACCCTCAGATCAGAGTCTACTGACGAGCCAGCCAGGCACTGTATCTTTTTATTATTGACTTGACTGCATCATATATTTTGTAGACAGCATATAACTGGGTCATTTTTTAAAGGTTTTTATTTAAATTCCAGTTAGGTACCATACAGTATAGTATTAGTTTCAGCTGTCCAGTATAGTGATTAAACACTTCCATATGTTACCTGCTGCTCAAACTGGGTCATTTTTTGACATCCATTTTGGGAGTCTCTGTCTTTTAATTGATAAGTTTAGAGCATTTAAACTTAATAATAACTATTAATTTGTTAAAGTCTACTGTTTTATTATTTGTTTTCTTTTTATTCCCTGTATTTTTCATTCCTTTGGGGTTTTTTTCCCCCTATCCTTTTATGGTCTGTTTGAATATTTTTGGCATTCCATTTTGTTTCTTCACTGTGGTTGTTACTATACCTCTTTGTATAGTTTTTCTAGTAGTTGTATTAAAATGCATACTTACCTTTTCATTGTCTACTTAGAATTAATATTTTACCACTTCAGATGGAATCCAGAAACTTTCCTACCCCTTGATGCTAGAGTTGTCGATATATTCATCTAGATACACTGGAAACCGCATCAGACCATATTAAGATTTTTGCTTTCAATTCTCAAACATACTTGAAAGCAATCAAGAGGAGAATAATAACAGTCTCTGATGTAACCCAGACATTTGCCCCTTCCGTTGCTCTCCCTTGATTTCCTGATTTTCCAGGTTTCCTTCTGGGATCATGTCCCTTCCACCTAAAAAGCTGCTTTTAGCATTTCTTTTGGAACAGATCTACTTGGTTTTCCTTCATCTGAGAATGTCTTCATTTCACCTTCATTCTGAAGGATATTTGACTGGATATCAAATTCTGGGTTGACAGCTCTCCTTTGGCACCTTGGAAGTGTCCTGCCATTCCCTCAGGGTTCCATGCTTCATGGTGAGAAATCCACAGTCACTTGAATCCATGTCCCCTGTAGGTAACACATTGCTTTTCTCAGGATATCTTCCAGATTCTGTCTTGTCTTTCATTTTCAGCGGATAGATTATGATGTGTCTGGGTATGGATATCTTTGGGTTTCTACTGTTTGGGATTTGTTTGGCTTCTCAAATATGCAGGTTTATGTCTTCTACCAAAATTGGGATGTTTTCAGCCAGTATTTCCTCAAATAGGTTTGCATTATTTTACTCTTACTTCTTTGTTTTTGGATTCCAGGACATGAATGTTAGACCATTTGTTAGTGTTTCCAGGGCCCCTGAGGCTCTTTTCATTTGATCCCATCTTTTCTTTTTTCTTTGTTGTTAAGATTAGATGATTCCTTTTGATCTGTCTTCAGGTTCACTGACCCTTTCCTGTTTTGTCCTAATTCTGCTCTTGAGTCCATCCAGCAAGTTTTGTATTTTAGTCATTGCATTTATTAAGTTCTAAAATTTCCATTTGATTCTTTTTCCTGTAGTCTATTTCTCTGCTGAGATTTTCTATTTTAACATTTTTTTGCCAGGGAGTTTGTGATTTTTACCTAGCTGTTTAAGATATTTGTCAGCATTGGCACCTGTTGACTGTATTTTTCACGGGAGCTAAAATTGTCATTGTTCTTTGTATGCTGAGTGTTATAGATTAGATCCTGGACTTTTTGAATATTATAGGATGTTAGGTCTTATTTAGATTATCCCCAAAATGTCAATATTTGTGTTTCAGCTGACAGTTATCCCAGTTAGGTTTGGGCCACAAGTTGCAACCCCCAATCTATGGGCCATGAGTATCAGTTCAGTTTTCGAAGCTTTCCTGCTGTTTGCTATTTGAGCTTATCCAGAGTAGGCACCGCCCAGTGGTCAGTCTAAGACTGTGCAGTTTGTTTCTCAAAATCTTTGGCATCCTAATTAGGAGCACTCAAGCCCTGTTCTAGAGAGCCCTGGAGACATAAACAACTGCATGGGTTTGTTTTCCTGAGCTCCTCATTCTCTGCTATTTTTCTGGCACTTTCCACCTGCCTGGGGCACCCCTTTTTGGTTATGTGACCAACTGGGGGCTCTAGATCCCCATTCTGTCATGCTTGCCTGTAGTCTCCAGTCCGCAACATCCCAGGTTTGTCCCACCCTCTGGGAACAGGAGCTAGATTGCCTGGGGCCTGGGTGTAGAGAACAGACAGAAGAGGGGATTTCTGCACTCACTCAAAGAGGCAGGAGTTCCCCTTCTGGCCCTGAAGCCAGAGCTAGAAGCTTCCGCAAGCTCAGTATACACCCCAGTGCTCACTTCCATTTCCAGGTTTCCTCTGCATGTTCCCACAGTGGGGGAGACGGGAGGTGGGGAGGGCACTCCTCCTATAGCTACTCTTCCCAGATCCACGTGCTCTGCCTTTTAGTCTCCCATGGTTGCCTTTGCACCCTGCCCAGGTTTGTCCTTGTAGTCCGCAGCAGGGAAAGGAGGCAGGCCGACCCCATGTCACCTGCAGCCTGCTTTTTTTTCACCTGGGAGATTACCATGACTGGGCCAATCCTATCATGTGCCTTGCTTGTGGGGCCCACTCGGGTGTGTTGTTTCCAGCTGCTGCAGACAGTGCAGAAATGAGCGAGCCTCCTCATCCTCAGGTGTGTGTTTGGGGCATCTCCCATACGGGGGTGGGAATCCTAGAGGGGTGAGGGCCCAGTCTTGGAATTGTTGAGAGCACTTCCCCAAAAGATTCTGCCAGTGGACTTAATATAAGCATGTTTGCCTTCTTACTTTCTAAGGTGTGGAGCAAGACAGTGGCCTCAGTAACCACATGCCCCTCCTGTCTGAGGACCTTTGTTTGAATTGTTTATTGAGCCCAGAATGTGGTCCCTCTGGCTCTAGAGTATCGTGGGGTAGAAAAGCAAATCCCAAAGAGCAACTTATAAATAGCTATCTGTGAAAGTGCTAGGAGTTCAAGGGGTGTCCAGCCACAGTGCACCCCAGCATGTGGCTATGCCCCAAGGACCGCTGTTCTTCCCCACATGGGACAGCACATGGCAGCTGTGGGCATCCCAGGTGTGTTGGAACACCATCTTCCTACGTCTGGTTGCAGAGCTGGCAGCTGAGTCAACATTGGCACTCAGATTCTGGTAATCTGGATGTCGGGGTGTACTTAGCTCAACAAACATCTCTTCTGTGCCCACCATCCTGGTTGCTGACTTTAGGGCTGAGATTAGCTTTGTGGGCTGCACGGTTTCCCTGCTCGCCTTCCTGAGCCTGCCTTCCCAGCATCTAGAACCTCACGTGCTCAGTTATAGAGAGCTGTGAGGCCCTACTCCCCACGGGGAAGACAGCCATCCAAATCTAGGAGCAGTCACAGTTGGGAGCATGCAGGGCCCCCTGAGTAAGGCCAGGCAGAGTGCCAGAGCCGCCTGGCTAGCCAGCGAGGACCCACGTTTGCATGTGCTCTCTGAGGACCTCCTGGCCCCGGGTGCTGTCCTCATGCTAGACCCAGCAGTGAGCAGCCCAACACCGCCTCCCCACCAGAGGGGTTACAGAGATAGACAGGCAGACAGAACTGGTAAGAGGCAGAGGAGGAAGAGCAGCCGCTCTGTGCTGTGGGGTCAGGGAGCTGCCTGCCAGGTGGGGCCAGTGAGAGACCAGTGTGGCCAGAGTATAGTGAGCAAAGGGGTGATGGAGGCAGACCGTGCAAGGCCTTCTGTCCTGTGTTGTGCCTTTCCTGGGGCTGTCATCTACTTAGAGCCTCAGTTCTCTGCCTCCCTCAGAGGTGAAGGGCTCTAGTGGATGTGCATGAGGTGCTTTCCAAACACTTGAGGTAAAGACTGGTCAGAGTCTTTTCCTTCTCTACAGAAATAGGCAACTTGGGTCCCCTCCACTATGTGAATGTGACTGGCACCTCTGAGGAGTGGCCCGTGTGGCCCCAAGGCCCCTGCGTTTGCAGCCCTTGCTTTCACCTGTGGGTATGGACGTGGTGATGTTGGGGTGGTGGTCATACCTGTGGCCGCAGCACCTCTGCCAGCCACCGTGCAGCCTCTGCTCCGTGCCTCAGTGTCCTTGTATCTAAAATGGGCACATGAAGAGGTGTTCCATACCCTGGCTTCCTCAGGGCAGTCTCAGGACTTGGCTGTTGGCCTGCTCTGCCTTTCTCATCGTGCTCAGGTGTTTCTGGGTCTGCACATGAGATAGAGGGTCGCCAGGGTCCTAGCCCTGCCCTGCAGGCTGTTGAGGTGCACAGAGCCCCACCTGGCACAGAGGAAAGGCTCAGTCAGTTACTACCGTGACTGTATCTGTTAAAATACAGTTACTTTGGATCAATAGTATCAGACTTCAGGGCACCCCCGGGGGAGGGGTCAGGGCCCCAGAAGCTCCAGCTTTAGGAAGTAGGGCATATAGGCTGGGTGGCCTCCTCAGGCCCCACATGGAAAAACAGAGATTTTAAGAAAAGCAGTTTATGGCCTGCTCTGAGAGGCCTGCCTGGTGGGTGAGCAAACACGGGTTAGAGTTGCCACCAGTTGTGCCTGAGGCCAAACAGGCAGGGCCCACGTGTTGGTCTCTGTGGCCCCGGCACGAAGCTGGATGGGAGGCAGGTGAGGCTGGCCCAGCTCAGGGGATGGTGAGAAGGGCATCGAGAATGGGGCAGCTGGTACATGGGGACCTCCCCTCACGCCTGCCTCGCCACCCCCCAGGTCAGTGCCAATGGCAACGTGCTGCGCAGCGAGATCGTGGGTTCCATCAAGATGCGGGTTTTCCTGTCAGGCATGCCCGAGCTGCGCCTGGGCCTCAATGACAAGGTCCTCTTCGACAACACGGGCCGTGAGTACCCTGCCACCCCCACTGCGTTCCTGTGGCCAAAACGGAGCTGAGGGGATATTCAGCTGCGTGAGGGAACACATGTATCTCAAGCACTTGCATTAGAAACATCTTCACGTTGTGTGTAAGACAGCCATGGAAACTAATAAATCGATACCGGGACATAGAAAATACAGAAGAGCAAAGCTCCCAAAATCAAGTCTCCTCACCGCCCCATAGGCCAGTGCCTTAGATTTTCATGCAGCTACGCCACCAGCCCCGCCTACACCACCTTGAAGGGAGCTGTGGCCTCAAGGTTAGGCCTTGTTCTCTCCCCTTCCTGCGGAGCTCCTGCCCCCACACAGGGCACTGGGTCTGGACTGTTGGAAGGCCACACACAGTGGTTGCAGCTCTCACCACCCGGCCTGGATGTAGCACTCTCTGTGGTAGGGAGGGGACCATAGTGACCCCACTGACCCAGTTTATTGAGGTTCTGTGTTTACAAACTGGACCACCCATCTCCCGGCCTACTCCTGGCCCACCAGCCTCAGGAGCAGTGGCTGCACCATCGTACCTACCTCCATAGCAGCAGGACCGAGGGCCACTCCAGTACTGGCCCATCAGGATACCTCCTTTCCCTGGCTGGGCCCGCCCTGCATAGCTCCTCTACAAGATAGAAAACTAAGACAGGAACCCTGAACCCAAGGGATGATGATGGGGCCAGGGCACATTGGGAGCCCAGAACCATCACCCTGCCTCCCCACCCCAGTCTATTAGTCATTCACCAAACATGCCCAGAGCAGCAACCCTGGCTAGATCCTGGGTTAGCTATTGAGGACTCAGTGTGAACCAGGCTGCCCAGCCCTGCTCATCCTGCGATCAGGATGCAACAAAGCTTCCAAGCAGCTGAGGAGGAACAGGAGAGGTGGTCTGGGAACCCGGGCCCCTTGGCATCATGACCCACAGATTTGAGGCAGCTCTGCTCTGTCAGGGTGAGCCCTAGGCAATGGGAGTGTTGCTGACAATGAGCCAGAGGGCCTATGGTCTGTCCCACCCTTATACCACCTCCCCTCAGGTGGTAAAAGCAAGTCTGTGGAGCTGGAAGATGTGAAGTTCCACCAGTGTGTGCGACTCTCACGCTTCGAGAATGACCGCACCATCTCCTTCATCCCTCCCGATGGCGAGTTTGAACTCATGTCCTACCGTCTCAACACCCACGTGAGTGCGCCCACAGGCACCCGCCCCTGGGGTGGGCTTCCACTCAGGCAGCAGGGGGCAGTGTGTGGAGGCCCCACACAGGCTCCTATCTCCTCCCCAGTGGGTGGATAGTGATAGTCTCCTCCAGGATGAGTCTCACATCCACCAGGTGACAGGGCAGGTAACAGCTCCCATGGACTGCCCAGGCTCCACAGAGCCCATGTTTAATCACTTGGGGCTCTGAGCCGTCTGAGGGGCCAGACCCCATTCTGGGCAGCCCCAGTGATGTTCTCTGCATTTCCACAGAGGCCCCTCAGACTCTGTCCATTCCAGTCCGGCTATGCACTCCTCCAGTAGCCCTGGGCAGTAGCATGCTGGGCTCACACCTGAGCGGATGGTCCCTTGCCCTGAGCCTGTTTCCCCTCTATGGGATGGGCCTCTGTAAAATCACCATGTGTGAGTGCCACCTTCTCTCCCCAACAGGTCAAGCCCTTGATATGGATCGAGTCTGTGATTGAAAAGCATTCCCACAGCCGCATCGAGTACATGATCAAGGTGCGTGGGCATCCCATACACAGTGTCAGCCTGGGGCCACGGCAGTAAGAGCAGGGGGCCGGTGGATGGCCCTGCCTGTTCAGGGCCTTTGGCAGAGGGTCCTAACTGGGACAGGGGCACCATGGGGCTCTGTGCCCCTTCGCCTAGGAAATAAGGCCTGTGGCTGATGTCTGTGCTGCCTCACTGTGAGCCAGAAGGAAGGATGAGCCCTGAAGGCCAAGGGAACTGGAGAGCATAGGGAGAATCTCGAGTGGTGAGAGGGTGTAAGCTGTGCCTAGAGGACCGGGGGTCAGCTGGGTGGGGCCCCCAGGCCAGGCCAAAGGGAGTAGGGCCCTAGTGCGAGCAGGCTGGGTAGGGGCTGTGCTTTCCGCAAACTTGGCTGCACCGGCCTCATCTCCAGGCCAAGAGCCAGTTCAAGCGGCGGTCGACGGCCAACAACGTGGAGATCCACATCCCTGTGCCCAACGATGCCGACTCCCCCAAGTTCAAGACGACGGTGGGGAGTGTCAAATGGGTCCCTGAGAACAGCGAGATTGTGTGGTCTATCAAGTCCTTCCCGGTGAGTGCCCTTCTCAGTGGGATGCCCCCCTTGACTTCTGCCCACACCCCACCTGCTCCTTGTGCCCATCACAGCATGGCAGCCTTGAAACCGGGCCTAGGGCCAGGATCCCCACCTGGGTGTTCTGGGCGGCCAGTGGATGGAGCGCCGAGGAACTAGCAGAGCGAGGAGGGCAAGCTGGAGCTGGCAGAGGCAGCTTGTGTGTGAACGGGCCAGTCTCCAGTATCAGGGCAGCACTTGCCACCCCTGCTCTCTCTCTCTGACACTGGTTCAGAGCTCAGCTTCCCTCGAGGGGACCAGACTGCCTTGAGGCCTGAGGAGCGTGGCTTTCGGGAATCCAGCACCAATTCCAGGAATGTGGAGCACTTCATGCTGGCACAGCTGCCTGGCTTGTGTTCAGGATTTTGAGCACTGAGTCTGGGTTTGCAGCAGTAGTGCTGAGAGAGACGAAGGTGGATGTGTGCTCCCGCGCTGATTATGGCCTGTTGTTTTCTCATTATAAACAAGATGGAGCTCCTTTTCTTTTTCTAGAAAGATTTTATTTATTTATTTGAGATAGGGAGCAAGAGACAAAGACCACAAGTAGGGGGAAGGGGGAGAGGGAGAGGGAGAAGTAAGTTCTTCACTGAGCAGGAAGCCCGATGTGAGGCTCAATCCTAGGATCCTGGGATCATGACCTGAGCTGAAGGCAGACACTTAATCGACTGAGCCACCCAGGTGTCCTGGAGCACCTTTTCTTACATCTGAGAGCCATTTGCATTTCTTTCTCTAGAAACTGTAGCAGCTCTCTCTTGCTTATTTTTCTGTCAGGTTTGGTCATTTTCTTGGTTTCCAAGAGCTCTTTATATATGGGTAAGATGAGCACTTTTTCTTTGATATATAAGTTGCAAATGGTTTCCCTCAGTTTAATGTTTATCTTTTGGCTTTGTTTCTGGTAGTTTTGTTGTGTGACCTTTTTTTATTGCTTCTTTGTTTCATTATTATTTAATGTAGTTAGATTTCTTGGTCTTTTCCTTTTTGTTGCCTCTGAATTGTAAGTCATGCTTTGAAAGCTTCACCATTCCTAGATATAAAGGAATTTACCCATATTGCTTCTAGAACCCGTACAGTGGCATTTTCACCTTAGATTTTAGGTCCTTTCAGAGCTAGATCTGGTAAATGGGGGGAGGTATTGGTCCAGTTTTACTTTCCAAATGGTTATCCAGTTTTTGAACATCACTTACTAAAAGGTCCATCTCCCCAATGGTGTGAAATCCCATGGGGGCTCGATATAGGGTAGTTTTTCTTTCAGTTCCTGTGGGTTAAAAACAGGAATATGATATTCTTTCATATCATTTCCAGCCAGATAGTTTTCCCTTCACCTCTGCCCTTCTTGGGCATTTGTTGGCTCTGAGCCTCCCGACTTTGGCTGCTGTCTCCAGGGCCTGTACGTGTCCTTGGACAGTGGCCTCCTGGTCTTACCCCCTCCCAGAGACTCCAGGTCCCCTCCAAGTATGATGCTCCTTTGGGCCATGGACTCAGTGCAGCCCTACTTTACTGTGGTTTGGGCACAAATGGGTAACAGGCTTATCCAAATGCCCCTTCATATCCGTCAGCAGGTAGAGCTGGACCATCCCTACATCTTAGTAAACTCCACCTGGTCGAGGTATATTTTCTTTGCAGTGCACCGTTGGATTCTATGGATAACATTGTATATAACATTTTCACTTTGATGATCATAACTGAGGTTGATTTTTTTGGGTGCACTGTCTATTGGGTATTAGTGCTGGACCTACTTTGTAACTACTCGGTGTCCGAGTTCTCGGGTGCAGCCCCCAGGGAGGGACCAGGGCATGAAGTTACCACACAAACACCAGCTACCTGCTGGAAGACATAGTGGAAGAGAAGACCCCACTCACCAAAACACTGGCACAGTGTTTTATGTTTAAGTGGTCCGGACATCATTTGGTCCTGAGAAGGTTGGTAGAATTTGACTGTGTGACCTTCTGGATCTCAACTATTTTCTCCATCTTTTCTGTGGAAATCAGGCCATTCAGAGTTTCCATTTCTCTTGGAGACTATTTGGGCAGATTATATTTCCCTTCAAAATTATCCATCTTGGGGACGCCTGGGTGGCTCAGTGGTTGGGTGTCTGCCTTTGGCCCAGGGCATGATCCTGGAGTTCCGGGATCGAGTCCCACATCGGGCTCCCTGCATGGAGCCTGCTTCTCCCTCTGTCTGCGTCTCTGACTCTCTCTGTGTGTTTCTCATGAATAAATAAATAAAATCTTTAAAAAAAACAAAATTATCCATCTTAACCAAGTTTTCACAGTTATCTGCAAAGTTGGAGAAAGTGATCTTTTTTTTTTTCTTTCTATTTGCCATGTCTTTTTCCTCTCTTGTTCTTTCTTCTTGTGTGTATTTGGGCCTTCCGTTTCCCTGGATAAGGCTGTCTAGCAGCTTGTCTTTTATTTTCTCCCAGATTTACTTTTTAATTTTGTTGTAATATTTATCTTTTATAAGTCTTTAAATTTCTTCATCCTTTCTTTGTTCTAATTATTCAAATATTTTTTTTTAATTTTTATTTATTTATGATAGTCACAGAGAGAGAGAGAGAGAGAGAATGGCAGAGACACAGGCAGAGGGAGAAGCAGGCTCCATGCACCGGGAGCTCGACGTGGGATTCAATCCCGGGTCTCCAGGATCGCGCCCTGGGCCAAAGGCAGGCGCCAAACCGCTGTGCCACCCAGGGATCCCTGTTCTAATTATTCAGATTACATATTTTCATTTGATGATTTTGTTTTAAAATTTATACTGATCCAAGAATTTAAGCCATAGATGTTCCTCTGAGCCCTGCTTTAGCTGTATAACCCGTTGATTCTGACACCATATTTGACTTACTCATCTAGAAATTCTGTAATCGGATAGAGTTGGTTGTTATTTTTTAAGATTTATTCATTTATTTGAGAGAGAGAGAGAGAGAAAGAGAGCAGGAACATGGCAGGGAGGAGCAGAGGGAGACAGAATCTCAAGCAGACTCCCCTGCTGGGTGCGGAGCCCAACACGGGGCTTGATCCCAGGACCCCAACATCATGACCTGAGCTGAAATTACAAGTCGGACACTCAGCCGACTGAGCCACCCAGGTGCCCTGATGGTTCTTTTTATTTTTTTTATCTTTATTTTTTTAAAGATTTTATTTATTCATGAAAGACAGAGAGAGGTAGAGAGAAAGGCAGAGAGACAGGCAGAGGGAGAAGTAGGCTCCATGCAGGGAGCCCCACGTGGGACTCGATCCCAGGTCTCCAGGATCATGCCCTGGGCTGAAGGCAGCGCTAAACCGCTGAGCCACCCGGGCTGCCCTGATGGTTCTTTTTAAATTTCCTAGGGGATAGGCCTTCTGATTTTCATTTCTCCTCACTACCAATTTGGAGCACTGAGGCCAGAGAGTGTTATTCTTACTGTTTCCACTTCTGGGATTTCTTGAAGTGTTTGTTGTGTGCTAACAGAAGGCCAGCATTTGTAAATGCCTTAGATGCACTTGAGAAGAAGATAAGCTTCTGTTATCAGAGTAGGGAACCTACAAGGTCTGTTGTGATGCTGCAGCAGCTTCCACCCGGTCAGCTCTGCCTTCCTCTGGTTCCCTGCCATCTCATGTAGCATCTGCTTATCAGAAGTTGCTGCCATGTTAGTTGGTGCTCATAGATACCCGTGCCTGTGACACCTTCCCTGTAGATCACAGGGCTGCAGTCTCTAGGACCGTGGCCTGCCCTCCTTTGCACCTATAATTCTTGCCCTGAATTCTCTGTGACAGCAGGCCCTGCTCTGTTTTGTCTGCCCTTGGCTGGCACGCCTTCACCTGTTCTTCCTACTGTGGTAGCTTTTCTCCACCTTTGCAGCCTAGAGCTGTGTTTTGGTCTGTGGGCCAGCCTGTGGGTCTTTCTCGTTCATGGGAGAATTAAACCCATTGACATCGGTATGATGGACACTGGGGTAGGGGAGCAGACTTCCACTGCTCCGCTGGGAGGGCCTGGCCCTCTGCATGTTCTTTGGCTTTCATTTTCCCTTTTGTCTTTATAAGGCTCGGATTTGGGATCTGGTTATTGTCTCATACACAGGCTGATGGAGCTCATTTTATTCCTTTGCTGCCTGCTTTGTCTGCACATTACTCTCCCCTCATTGTCCCAGAGTCTTTATTCAGCACATGTCACTGACTTGGCAGTCCCCGCTCTCGCACTGGCCCTGGTGGTGGTGAGCAGAGACTGGCCACCGGCTGGCTCCATCCCGGGGAGGGGAGCACAAGTGTGGCACTGGGGAGCCATGACTTTGCCCTGCTCTACCCAAGAAGCACAAGGTCGGCTCTGCTCAGGGTGGAAGCAGCCCTGGTCAGCAGCCACTCTTGCCAGAGCCCCAGGGATTGATGAGTACTATGCCCTGGGTATGGCGAGAAATCTGCTCTCTACTCCCAGCTGCTGTACATGAGACACACCAGGCACTTGGACAGCCAGACCGAGATGCCTTAGTCTTACCCAGGGCTTCCAGTCATTCCTGGCCCTGCCTCAAGCTGCATCTCTAGAGTCCTTGCTCAGCTTCCAGGGCCAGAGCTGCCCCCTTACTTACCCACTGGGAGCAGGACTCGAGTCTAACTCAGTCAGCCCCAACCATGGTCTTTTACTTTTGTTATACCTCTCCCTGTTCACCACTCCTCCCTTTGACCTTTTCCCCCTTACTTCCACATGCCGCCTGAACACCGGGCACCTGGGGATGTTCACTCGGACTCTGGCCTGGGTAGAGGAGCCACGTGTCCCGCAGTGGCCCGCACCTGCACAGTCTGTACACTGGGTGCCCCCTCTTCCTTGAAGCAACTAGTCTCCTCTCCCTGATAGCTTATGAAACTCTCTTGATCCTTAGAGTTTACCAGTTTTCCCCAGCATGCCTCAGATCTGCCCAGCATGGCTAGTGGGGCAGTCTGTGAGGCCTGGGGTAAGTGTAAGTGTGTTGGAGGAGCTGAGACTGTGGGTGACCACAGCCTCACAGGGAGGGGCTCAGTGGCCAGGGCAACCTGGAACTCTCTAGACAGACGCAGCTGTTGGCCAAGAGGGGCCGGGTCCTTGGCCTGACCACATCTACCTTATCTGCTCCTCCAGGGGGGCAAGGAGTACCTGATGAGGGCCCACTTCGGCCTGCCCAGCGTGGAGGCGGAGGACAAGGAGGGCAAGCCCCCAATCAGCGTCAAGTTTGAGATCCCCTACTTCACTACCTCTGGCATCCAGGTACGTGTGGCCAGGGTTGCCAGGGCCCCAGAGCAGACTTGGGCAGGCCCTGGGTCCATCTGGCTCTGAGAGCTGCAGATGGCAGACATCCTTGCAACCAGCTCAGGCAGGGGGGCTAGTCAGCTTGTCCTGGGACACCGCAGTGCTGCCCTGGCTCTGGCTCTCTCCCTGGCCAGCCTGGGCCCGCACCTATCTACTCAGACCTGACCTTGTACTTCAGCTCCAAGCTCAGAGATCCTTTTGACTCCCAAAACTAGAGGCTGAGCCTCTCCTGTCTATATACTTGCCACCAGGGGCCATGGTTTCCCAGGTCCGCTACAAATCTGCGAGGGGAAGTGAACTCTGGGCCCTCTGCCCCAGGAAGCTGCTGGAGGGCCTTGCCTGAAGGTGCACATCCTGGCTCTTTCCCATGTCTGCTAGCAGTGACCCCTCCCCCTATGGCATCAGCATGCTGCAGGTGGACACATGCCCCTCCCAGCCCCCTGTGCTGCCTGTGCTTGCCCACTCCTTGTCACAGCCCCAGGGGTGGTGATGACGGGGCCCGAGAGGAGGCAGCAAGCACATGCTCAGGGCCCTGCTGCCTCTGCCCTAGGTGCGCTACCTGAAGATCATCGAGAAGAGCGGCTACCAAGCCCTCCCATGGGTCCGGTACATCACTCAGAACGGAGGTGCGTGCAGCACGTGGAGCAGCCCTGGGGGTGGGGATGGGGGGCCGGGGTGGGGGAGGCAGGGTGGGGCTCCCCCCCCTCAGGTACAGAGCAGAAAACCAGCACCTCCCTCCCTGATTCTAGATTACCAGCTCCGGACCCAGTGAGGGGCTCTGTGGCCAGCACCCCCAGCCCTGGCGCTGGGGCTCCTGGTGGAAGACTGGGAGGAAGCACCTGCCAAGCCTGCTGGGTGGAGGAGGGGCGCCCCTGGCCGCTGGCCACCCTCCTGGCTCCTCCTGGGGATCCCTCCTTTTCCAGGCGCGTCTGCTCTGCCGTTGCCACTCTCGTCTCTGAGGTCGCTTCTCCCAGAAGAGGCTCATCTTGGAGAAGTCTTGTGTCTCTGCCCCCCCAGTCAGTTTGAGGGGAAGGGAACAAAATCTTTCCCTCTCAAGATCAAATGCAGCCTCCTGTGCTGTCTAGCTCCCAGGCACCCAGAGACTGGGCAGTACTCACCAGACTGCGGGCTGCACTCGGCCTCCGGCCCAGCCAGCAGGGCCGCTGTTTGGGTGCCATTCTGTTGAATGTTGTAGGTTCATGATTGTTCCCCGGTTCTGTCTCGTCCGTTCATTGTTGTTTACGTGCAGCTCACCGTCCGCACCTCCTGCCCCTTGTCCTGAAGCTCTTGGGCAGCACTTACTGAGGGTGCACCACCCTCCTCAGCAAGGCTGGTGCTGGGTTTCCTCCCACATCTGGCCAACCCCAGCCATGGCATCTGTGGCAGCAGCTCCTGCTCCTCAGAGGCTCCTGGCCTCCTCCCTGAGGCTTCTGCGGAGGTGCCTTCCCAGGGTCAGCTGTGCCATGTGATGCTGTCCCTCAGCCACATCAGTGTTTGTCCACCAGGGAGTGGTGTCCAGCAAGGACTGCTGGCCTCAGAGGGTTGGAGGCACAGGTCATCCACATCTGTGCTTGGTCATCCCACCGCCACCCTGTCTATGTTTGTGTCACAATTACATTAAATTCCATTACTTAAACATGGTGCCTGCCTTCCCTCTGGTGTAGCATACAACAGACTCCTTCTGAGTGACCAGGGGCAGGTACAGGGCTCATATCAACTCTCACCCTGACCCGATGGTCTTCCTCAGAGTGGTATGGCCCTCAGAGTGGCCGCATGAGTGTCCCCTTTGACCTTGCTAGAAATGCACACCCAGAGATCCACCCTGACCTGCCAAGACGGTCTCTGGGATCGAGGCCCAGGAGACCAGTTAACAGATTGCACATGTGCACTAGAGCTTGAGAACTGCTGCCTGGTCCTCAGAGGGGATCATGGTGGGTGCATGGGCAGGCCCTGTCTTACCCCAGCAGGCACCTGCCTCACACTCCTTGCCCCCCCAGTGCCACTGGCCCTGCCTTGGCTCGGCCCCTCTTACCTTCAAGGGCTGTGCTCCCCTGTCCCTCTCACCCAGCTTCCCCTTGGAGGGCTGGTGAGCATCAGCCCAAGTAGTAGCCTGGCCTCCCACCCTCGTTGAGTAGAGACATGGCCTGGGCCTAGGGCTCAGACGAGGGCCATTAGAGGCATCCTTGATGCCTGGTCCCTCACTGCCCACACCCACATCCACAGCATGGTCTCCCTCCAGGAGACTCTGGCTCCAACAGCCTTTTCCATCCTCACTGCCATCCCTGGAGGCCAAGCTGCAGCCTCCAGAGCCCCTGTTGGTCATCCACAGTGGGGAGGCGGCCCTCTGTTCCCAGCAACACCTGGGACAAAGTTATCTGCAACCCCTCCTGCTATTAGCATGTATATATGTGATATTTAGTATAAGAGAAAGACCAAGAATGATGGGCTAAGCATCCATCTCAAGAAGTCAGAAGAAACAACGAAGGCTAAGAGCTTAGGAAGAAGGAAATAATAGACACAAAGGAAATAGAAAACAAACATTCGATAAAAACCACAAGTTGGTTCTTTTAAAACATGAATGGAATTCAAAAGCTGCTGGGAAGTTGGATCAGAATGAAAAGGAGGCACGTGTAGCACTCACTGGGATCGAAAGACATTACTATAGCTTTTCAAAAACGAAAGAGGTTAGGGCAGGACAGCTACCACCTGGCAGGACATTCAGGCTGCCTCTGCCCCCAAGCTCCAGCCACCTGGGGGAGGGGTTGGTCTTTTCCCAGCCACCTGAAGACCCCAATGGAGGCTAAGGACGCTGGGAGCGACTTTGTACCAGCACACTTGAAAGCGTTAACGCGGGTAAGTTCCTAGAAGACAAAAGCTGACGCAAAAAGAAAGTAAAAATCTGAGTAGTCCTACAGCTGCTAAAGAACCTGAGCCAGTCAGAGCTCCGGGCCCAGATGGCCTTATTGGGAGAGCTCTACCCAACAATCTAGGAGAAGAAAGAAACTCTTGAAGAGTAGAAAAATAGGAAACATTTCCTGACTGACTGTATGAGACCAGCATTTCCTCAAAACAATATGAAACAGGAAAAGTATAGACCAAGCTCACTGATGAGCATAGATGTGAATATCCTAAACAATTGGAGGGGAAGTGGTGCTGCATAAAAGGACATAACCTTGTGTCTAAGGTTAAATCTTAGATACGCAAAGTTGGTTTAATGCTGGAAAATGTGTTAATTCAATCTGCTGCCTTAAGAGTAAGGGGGAAAACATCAGTTCAATGGGTGTGATAGAGGGTTTGGTAAAACTAAACATTCATGATCAACAAATGGGAATGCCTTAAGCCAACCCTTATCCTTAAGGGATATCCTTAAGGGATAAACTACCCTTAGGCCAACTGCAAGCTATTGACAGTAGTACCCCAAAAAATGAACTACCTGGGATTAAATTAAAAAATCACACAAGTCCCCTAGGTGAACTTATATTGAGTGTGTTCAGGAAGACCTAATGGAGAGAGGGGTACACCCTGGTCATAATGGATGTCTGTGTCAAAGATGCCAATATTCCTTGTGGTAGGCAGAACAACGGTTCCCCCCCCCCCAAAGATGTCTGAGATCCCTGGAACCTGTGAGTATGTTAAGTTGCATGGCAAGGGAGATTAATTCTACAGCTGGAATTAGGGTTGCTAATTAACTGAACATAAGGGGGAGGTTACCCCAAGCCATCTGGTGGGTCCAACGTCATCACAGCAGTCCTTAACAGCAGAAGAAGAGGACAGAGGAGAGAAGCAGAAAGCGGTGGTGTGGAAGGGACCCGGCCAATGGTTGCTGGCTGTGAAGGTGGAGGAAGGGGTCTTGGACCAAGGATGTGGGCAGCTTTCAGAGGCTGGAAAAGGGATGAGATGAATTCTCACCTGAGTCCCCAACAGGATCACAGCCCTGCCGACACCTTGGCTTCAGCCCCATGAGATCATTTCAGATAAATCTGTATCAACATTCATGATAATTTGTTTGGGCAGCAATAGGAAATGAATAGACTTCAAAACTATATAGGTCAAAGGCATTCCCATTCAAAATTCCAGGTAGGTTTTTGTGGAACCTGACCAGCGAACTCTAAAATTTACATGGAAATAAAATAAAATAAAATTTTCATGGAAGGTCAGAACTGAGAATAAGTATCTTGAAGAATAAAATGGGGCACCTGGGTGGCACAGTCGGTTAAGCATTGGACTCTTGATTTAGGCTCAAATCATGATCTCAAGGTCGTGAGATCGAGCCTTACATGGGCTCCATGGTCAGTGGGGAGTCTGATTGAGATTCTCTCTCCTCTGCTCCTCACCCCACTCCCATTCTCTCTCTCAAAAAAAAAAAAAAAAAGGAGGGGGAGAATGACCAGTTTGGGCATGAAGGCTTATTCCATCAACAGTTATTAAGATACAAAGTAACACATACAGTGTGGTCGCTTTAGAATGAAGTTCAAGAACAGGCTTCAGGGAAACTGGGTTCTTTAGGGAAGCTTCCATCGTGAGGGGCAAATCTAAAGAGGAAGTAGAATGGGTCTACTTGGTGGGGTGGGGGGAAGAGAGGAAGACACAGGGGGCTCCGGGGTTCCAGCTGTTAGTTCTTGAGTGGTGGTGGTGACACGGGTGTTTGCTCATAATTGTGTTGAACTGTATATGATCTATGCATCTTACAGTATGATGTTCTAATGATGTTTAATGCCGCAAAAATCAGATGAGTTTAATGTCATTTCTCAGTTCCTGACAATCAAAAAAAGATGGAAAGCCCCCAATTCATTCTTTTAGGCAGCTGGCACTTGAATCCCAAAACCAGTTAAGGATGGTAGAAAAGAAACCGTGGGCGGAACTTATGAATACAACAAAGCAAAACTCCTAGACAAAATATTAGCAACCAGGATGGAGCAGCGGGTGAAGAGTATCATATGCTGTGACTCAGCGGGGTCGATTCCAGGAACACGAATGGTTCCACGGGGGCCACTCAATCCATGTAACTCATCCCACCACCAAACCAAACCATATCCGTAAGTTTGAGAAAGAAACGTTGCCACAGCAAACATCCCTAATGGAAACAGGCCCAGCAAGAGGGGGGAGAGGCCTCCCCACTACGAACGATGCCGTCTCCCACCACACGTCCGGAAGTAGCCCTCTCGGAGGCTGTAGCGGACAAGCAGGGAAGGAGAGTCGGGTCGGTGGCTTTCTCCAGCAACACGCACAGCAAGCAGAAAGGGCTGGAACGGGGGCCCCCGAAGCCCCGTGATGTCACGGGTGCAGCTGGGAGATGCTGAATCTCACTTAGGGTCTAGTGAAAGTAACACTGTCACTGCTGCCCCGCCACCCTGGCCCGAGTCCCATCACAGGTGCCTGTACACCCCCTGGAACAGGCACAAACGCTCAGTAAGGTTGCCCCAAGGTCCCATGAGGACGAACAGCAGGACACAGCCCAACGCAGTGGGGCATGGAGGGAGGGCTGCTGTGTGTCCATCCAGGCGAATATTCTGCTCACTCGGTGACCCGCCAGGGCGGGTGTGCTGACAGCCACACCCCACAGCTACGCTCAGTTGTTCCCACCAAAGCTGAACATTCGCCCAGCCTGCGACCCCACAATTCCACCCCTGGACATCTACCCAAGAGGAGGGGGCATACAAGTCCCCCCAAAAAGATATGGATGTGCATGTTCACAGCAGTCTGACTCACAGTAGCTCCAAAGTGGAAACACATAGGGTAGTGGCCCCACTCAACCCCATAGGGCACAGCAATGAAATTCAGAGGCCCGCTCCCCACCACCGCAGAACAGAGCGAGGGCATGCACAGAAGCATCTACTCCTGGGGGCAGGAGGCTGTGGGCTGGAGGGAACCTTCCGGAATGATGGAAAGAGCCACTATTTTGAGCTTGGTGCTGCACACCAAGACGTACATCTAACACACGTGTACTTTTATGTTTTATGTGTGTCACACCTCAGTTCTTCAAAGCTTAAAAAATAAAAATATGAATAGTTAAAAATATAAACTATTAATGAAATGAGCCAATCGCAAGAGAATGTTGTCCTATTGTTTATGTAAAGTTTCAGGGGATCCCTGGGTGGCTCAGCGGTTTAGCGCCTGCCTTTGGCCCAGGACGTGATCCTGGAGACCCGGGATCGAGTCCCACGTCGGGCTCCCTGCGTGGAGCCTGCTTCTCCCTCTGCCTAGGTCTCTGCTTCTCTTTCTGTATCTCTCATGAATAAATAAAACCTTTTAAAAAATCACATAAATCATATTGTTCGTGGCCAACATAGTACATAATAAAGTATAAAACACATGAAGGAAAGACTGACTCCCAATTCTAGACAGCGCTACGCTCTGGGGCAGGAGAAGGTCAGCCGGAGACCACGTGCCTCGACCTCATCTGTCAGGTTGTCTCCCCATCAGTGGTGCATAAATGGATATTTGTTAAATTATCATCGGTGTTTTTGTGACGGCCTAAGACGGCTCTTCATAAAGATCGCAATTCAGATCATGTCTCTCCCCTGCTTAAAATCTTACCATGGCTCCCCAGGGCCCTCAAGAGGAAGACCCCTCATCCTGCCGGTCCAGCGGGGGCCTGGCGCAGCCTCCTCTGGGCTGCCTTCTTGACAC